TTCTTTAAGTACATTTGTTTTTAACATGGATTACTTATGGGTTTCACATTTGGTGAATGTTAGCAGTGTGCTGGCCATCTTTGGTTTGTAGAGGAAATCTTAACCATGAACTATTCAAAGGGGCTAAAAATCAACTTTAATTACTTTTGTTTAAGTTCTAGCTTTAAAAAAAAATCAAAACTCAACCTTTTGCCTATACTAAATCACTCCACACGAATTAGAACCGCACATCACAGAATTGCACAGGGATTACAAATATTACATCCAGTCTGCATAAATCGAATTCCACTACCGACCAGGTCACAAAATGGCTGCACTTTCTAATCTAAAACTAATTTGCATATTGTACACATTTAGGACATTTTTAAAAACTTGAGTCACAATAATGCATGCAAGTTTGTTGTTTATTTTTTTTTTTGGAACAAATTTTATAATTTGCTCATGCTACCTAGATTCAAGAGAGCTCTTTTTTTTTATTCCTGAACATTTGCAATAACTCACCTCTGGTTAGTAAATAATTCTAGTGCATGCATATGGTGTATACAGGTAAGTAAACATGCAATTTTTCTTCACATTCTAAAACTATGGCAGTTTAGGCCATATTGTGCTGCCTGCATTTCATCTGCAATGCAGTATGTCTTAAACGTTTTCAATCCCGTATTAATAGGTGGCATTACACATAACACCTATATAGCAGCAAAGCTAATACAGCTTGTGATTAAAAATGTTTAAAAATAGCTAATAAATCAGATTATCTTGAGGTATTATTTCTTGCAAGTCAAAATGGAGAGCAAAAATCAACCCTAATTTTTTTAGTTTATGTATACACTGAAAATAGCAACAATAAAAATAAGCTTTTTGTAGCAGACATATTCCATCTTCACTATTATTTTGCTACCTTTGGTAAATTACTGGGGCAGATCTTGAAGTTAAAAACCCATGTTTAGAAATAAGTGCACGCTTCACCCACTAAATATAGCAGCAGACTGTGTGCCCCTATGCAAAAAACATTCTCATACCTAGTTTTAACTTTACATATAAAAATAACTTGGAGAAAATACAAAAAAACATTTTATTTTAACATGAAAATATCACAAAAATTAGTAAGCCTGAGATGTAGGGTTTTGGTGAAAAACAAGAGGCTTGTAGTGTTTTGGCTGCTGATAAAGATGCATGTATTGATAGCTGGGGTGAAAAGCAGAAGAATGCACTTATTTCTTCTGCACGTCAGTATCTTCAAACACAGTAAGACACATGCACCCATCTTTCCTTAAACAGAGGCTGGTTCACTATACTTAGTTCCAGCGGAAGTGGATCTGACGTGGGCGGTCAGCGCCTTCCTTGACCAATGGCTTATGGAATTCACGTCCTGCACGAGAGTGGATGTTCGCCCAGCAAAACTCACAATAATACTGCAGGCAAGTGACATTGGCACAAAAGAAAGGGGCGAACTTTCCACCACAGCGTGCACCCTGGCATTCATCACACATCTGGTCATCCAATACATATGGCTTTACCTCCACCTACAGATGGAAACACAGGGAAAATTCTTTAAAAGGCAAAACAAAACCATGTTGTAAATGCTTTCAGCATTTGTCCAGGATTCTTTTGGAGAAAGACAGAAACTGGAAAGGAAGAATGTCATTATTTCCAATGGTAATTTTCCTCTACTAGACTGTAAGCTTTTCCAGGGCAGTGGCTACATTATACTTATCTTTTGATTCTCCCTCAGCACCAGCACATAGTAGGTTTTTGATGAATGTTTATTTATAAAATCAATGAAATAGCTCTTTGAGGACTAAAATTAATCCCATGTCTTTTCAATGGATAAATATAAAATTACATATAAAGACAAGTTTAACATTAGTATCCCCAAATTAACAATTTATACAGTACTTTAAAGTTTACAAAGAGCTTTTCCTACAACCATGCTGTGAGACAGCTGGTATAAAACACTGTTTCCATTTTACAGATAAGAAAACTCAAGATCAGAGAGGCTGAGGTCCTTTTTACCAGCAAAACTCTGTGACATGGCCATTGTGACAGAGTTAATAAATGTCAGAGCCAGAACTAAAACTCAGGTATCCAGAGACTCTCAGACCAGTGCCAGTGCTTTTCCACTGTATCAGTACCATCATTTTTTCTTAAAGTACTTGGAAAAACACTAATCATCCTCATACCTACGTAGTATATGTGTGTGCACACATACAACAGGTAAATATGATGACATCAGAAGTCTACAATTGTAATTTTATTAAGACGTATATTCTAGTCAGTGGATAAATACATTAACTGCAGTGAACACATTTAGAAAAAAACCTTTAAAATAACACAACAGTAGTAATAGAAACAAAGTAGATTACATTTTAGATCTGGCAAGTCTGCCACATATCTACTCTTCAACTTCTAAAATTAATTTACTCTATACCAATCAGATGGTCAATGAGAGTCATCTGGAGTTATTTAATTAAGGTGGCCAGAGATACAAATCACATGTAAACCTATCATGTGGTATGCCTGGTATTCTGAGAAATCTCAATATTTAAAACAAAATAATAGGAGTCAAACTGAGAAGACCTGATATGGAAGGAGTTGGAACAGCGTCCATTTGGACCTTTGCTTCTGCACTAAGTCTTCTGTCCAACTTGTGCTCTGTATCTTAGCAGAGCTTTGCCCTCTCAAGATCTCATATCTTTTTATGGTTAAGATAATATATTTAAGTTGGAAAGAACCTAAGTGGTCATTCAGTCTAGCCCCCTTATCTGACAAAGAACCTGAGCCCTGGAGAGGTTATGTGATTCGCTTAGGGTCATTCACATAGTTACTGGTAAAATTCATCTTTGAGCCCAGAGAATCTGTCTCAGCAAGGTTAAGCTTAAGATTCTAAAAGCTAGGCTTCAGCAATATGCGAACCAAGAATTACCAGAAGAGTAGGCTGGTGTTTGAAGAGGCAGAGGAATTAGAGACCAAATTGCCACCATTCACTGTATTATGGAGAAAGCAAGGAGATTCTGCTTCATTGACTACACTAAAGCCTCTGACTGGGTAGATCACAACAAAATGTGGCAAGACCCCAAAGAGATGGGAGTACCAGATCATCTTACTTGTCTCCTGAAGAATCTGTATACAGGTCAAGAAGCAACAGCTAGAACAGAACATGGAATAACTGATTGGTTTAAGATCAGAAAAGGAGTATGCCAAGGCTGTATATATTGTCACCTTATATTTAACTCATATGCAGAGTATATTATGTGAAATGCCAGGCTGGATGAATCAAAAGCTAGAAATAAGGTTGCCAGGAGAAATATCAACAATCTCAATATGCAGACAATACCATTCTCATGGCAGAAAGTGAAGAAGAATTAAGATGCCTCTTGCTGAAGGTGAAAGAGGAGCACAGAAAAGCTGGCCTGAAGCTTAACATCAAAAAAACTAAGATCTTTTCAAATGGTCCCATCACTGCCTGACAAACAGAGGGAGAAGAAATGGAAGCAGTGTCAGATTTTATATTCTTGGGCTCAAAGATCACTGCAGAGAGCAACTGCTGTCATAAAATTAAACAAGGCTTGCTCCTTTGAAGGAAAGCTACTGCAACTCTGGACAGCATACTAAAAAGCAGAAACACCACCTTGCCAACAAAGGTCTGTATGGTGAAAATTATGGGTTTTCCAAAAGCAATTTATGGCTGTGAGAGTTGGACTACTATGGAAAGCCAAGTGACATAGAATAGACATTTCTGAATTATGGTGCTGGAGGAGACTTTTTTTCCCTTCTTTTTATCTAAATATCTCTAGTTCTTTCACATGTTTTATATATTATAGGATCTCTGGAACTTGATTCTTTTTTTTCGTGGGGGCGGGGAGGGAGGTCTAGGTAATGGGGTTAAGTGACTTGCCCAGGGTCGCATAGCTAGTAAGTGTTACATATCTGAGGCCGAATTTTAACTCAGGTCCTCCTGACTCCAGGACCAGTGCTCTATCCACTGTGCCATCTAGCTGCCTGGAGAAGCCTTTTGAGAGTCCCTTGGATAGTAAGGAGATCAAATCAATCAATATTGAAAGAAATTAATTCAGGCTATTAATTGAATGGTCAAATACCGAAGCTGGACCTTAAATACTTTGGCCACATAATGAAAAGACAGGGCTCACTAGAAAAGACCCTGATGTTGGGAAAGATTTAAGGCAAAAGGAAAAGAAGAAAGCAGAGGATGATATGGATGGTGTCATGAAAACAATGAACATGAACTTGGACAGCTTTGAGAGATACTGGAGGATAAAAGAGGTTGGTGTGCTTTGGTTCATGGGGTCATAAAGAGTCAGACACAACCAAAAGGCTGAACAACAACAACATCTGTCTCCAAATTCAGTGCTTTTCCCACTGTACCATACTGTTGCTTCTAGGATGAGAAATGAATGGAAGCAATCAAGTTTCTCTGTTTAAAATAAATTCTATTTCTTGCTAATCACAGCATAATTACTCAATCTCTATTTTTTGAGTTGATGAGATTAAGTGGCTTAAGAGCTGAAGATAAAAAAAAAAATCAAAGTAGTGGCCATGCTGCCCTGAGGCTTTTGGCCCCCCTATAATTACAAGCTATACATAGTATGATTTATACTATATAAAGTATATGTGCTGGACTCTATGTGAGTGTGTATCTCAAGTATTTGGTTTAATTTTATAAACTCTGTAAACTGTAGACACACTAAATTTATGAGTTATCACTGTCACTGCTAAACAATGTAGAGATAGCACAGTGTAGTGAAAAGAATAAGACTTTGACAGAAAAGCTGGCTTATATCAAAACCGAAGGCTGCTAATTTTATCAACCTCGCAACACCTAGAATCATTCTGAAATACCATTTCCTTTCTGTGTGACCTTAGGCAAGCCTCTTTCCCCTATCTGAATGGGGTTACACTATATCCAACTGTATGGTCCCTTGCAGTTCTAACATTTTGAAACTGTGGGCCTGCAGAACCCCCAGTGATTTAAAAACATCAACATAAACAATTGCTGAGCTGAACATCTGAAGAATTAGAGGTGTCAGAGAACTAGAGAGAAGCATATATGATCCTAATTTTCAAATTTTTAGACTAGGAGGAGTCTGCAAAGTATAGGCCAATGAACTTGATGCTCTAATAAGGCACAAGTTCTACCGTGTTTTATTTTAAAGGAATAATTTATGAGCATTTAGAAAAAGAAGTGGCAAATATATTGATTGCTTCAGTAAAGTTATACCAGACAAATAATCTTATTTTCTTTTTCTGTCAAGACTGCTAGATCAGAGAATGATAGCATACTTTACCTAAATTTCAGCAGAGTATTTGAAAAATTCATTGCTGATAATAAACATGGGTAGATGGATAGAACAATTAGGTGATTTCAGAACTAGTTTAATGACTGGACTCCATTGAGTTTAGTCAACAATTTGTTCTTGGCTCTGTTTCAACTTGAATATAAGCATTGTTGGTATCCTCATCAAATTTGCAAATATAAGAACTAGAAATTTTTTTTGAGGGGAAGTGGGTGGTCTGATGGGGATTGGAACGCAGGCATGTAAATAATAGGAGAAAGGAAAGCAAGATTGCCAGCATTCTGTATGTAAAGATTTAGGATTCTACCCTCCTACCCTCAAGGGAGGAGTACCTGATCAATCAGTTGAAATCTAATAAAGATAAATATAATGTCTTACATATGGCTAAAAAATAAAAAATCAGCTTCACAAGTATAAGACTGGAGAGGCTAGCAGCATTAATAAAAAATAAGGAGATACTTTGATGATTATTACAACGGTTCTGATTTCCTTTTCACCTCATCTCTGGAAAAGCTGTTTCCCTCCATGTAATTTTTGTATTGATTTTTTTCTCTTCAAAGAGCATTCAGAAACATAAGCACTATGTATATTCCATAAAAAAGGGAATATTTTCCTTTTCATAAATGAAAGTAACAAAAAAGGATCTTTTCTAACAGAAAGACTGTTGGGAAAAATCCACATAATTATGGCAATTAAAAAATACAGTTGTCTCTCAATTCCATAGCCACTAACTTCCAATCACTCCTTCCTGTCACTAAAAATCTACTGATGCCTTATCATGACATGGAGGTGACTGAATTCTTGAAGGCTATTAGAGCCTGATTCTGAAAAGTACCTCTGTTTTCTAATCGACAGGCTAGCTAACTCCAAAGAGGCCAGTCACCAGAAAGCTAGCCACCAGGTAAAGAATCGTTTTGATGATAGCAGCTCATAAGCACTATTATCAATTAAGACATTAGGGAGTTGGAATCCTATCAGTAGAAGGGGTAGCCACACTAAATAAGCATCTGCATACATATCTATGCACATAAATAAAAAGAAAAGAACACTAAATTCTTTAAAAGCAGAATATAGCTGACAAATGTTTAACTTTTCTTAATAATAAATTTCAGTTTTTGAGTCAATTGGGGGATGATAGAGAGAGATCTGGCCTCAGAGCTCACAGTCAGGAGAACGTAGCTTCAAGTTTCATCTCTCCCACATACTAGGTCATCCAGGGTAAGTTATTCAACTCCTGTCAAGTATTCGCAGCACCTCTCCAAAGATGAGAAGTTGCAGAGAAGGTGCCAACCTGCACTGGTAGAGGAAGTTCCTTACATCAATGAAATCACAGTTCCTGTCCCTCTCTCACAACTTAAATTTCTCAAGAATGAAATTCTGAGTACAAAATAAACACAAATAATTCAAATGAAGAATATATATTTGAGGCTCACGTAGGTGAAAAGGAAACTCATTGTCAATTTAGATTTTTTAAAAAGGTATGGAAAGCGAAGGTAAGTGAGGAGATGAAAGACAACACTTCCCTGACCTCAAAAATTATGAGTCACTACATCTGTGTCAATAAGATCCCGGGTACCAAAACAATAAGCTGATTGTCTGAGTCCCTCAATGTTGGTCATCTTTGAACCAAATGTCTTGATTTTCAAAAGTAAAGAAAAGAATTCTTATGTTGCTTCTATATTTTCTGCCAAGGAGAATGATCCTTGAATACATTTCAAAAGATAGAACTAAAATGGTTAGCAGTGAATTAAAGGTTAAGATAGTCAAAGAGATGGAACAAAAAATTTGCAAATTATAGGCTACTGAGCTTGCACACAGAATCAGACAACAAAATTTAGAAGGAATTATTTATCAGCATTTAGAAAAGAAGCAGTGATGACTAAAAGCATGAAGTCACTCCACTAAGAACAGGGCATAATAGACTAACCTAATTTTCTTTTTTGAAAGGGTTGCTGGACTGGTCGGTCAGGAGATGCTATGGACCTAATTTACTTTCATTTTGGCAAAGTGTCTTACAAGTCTTTTCTATTCTTGTGGATAAGACTGGATATATCTCCATTTTCTGGTCCAAATCTGTTGGTACAAGCAACTACCAGTGAGGATTCTCTCAATAAATGCAGAGCAGCAACTACTCTACAACTTATAGACTTAGGGAGTTGCCTATGTGAACAGAGAGGCTAAGTAACATACGCAGGGTCACACGGCCAGAATGTGTTAAGAGACAGAACATAAACCCAGATCTTCCTGTCTCCAAGGATGGCTATCTACTACTCCATATTGCTTCCTATACCTTTTTTATTCTATGAGATATATTCTAAATGTTTATTGTGAGATAAATCACAGTCCAATTAGGTGGCTTCACAATTAACTCTATTCCACTGGAATCTTCAGATCATCCCTTGGCTCCGTATTGTCAAACATTTGTATTAAGTGATTTGGAAAAAGGAAGCAAAGTTGGAATGCTTATCAAATTAGTAGATGACAAAATTAGGAGGGACAGCTAACATGTTGGATGACAATTTGAATTCAACAATTAGCTGAATCTAAGATGGCAAAATGTAATGGGGATAAATGAAATCATAGTGTTAAAAAAAAAAGCATTAGACTATGACAGCGGAAGCTTGTACTGTCTGGTATGAAAACAAAACAAAACAAAACAAAACATCTAGGGCCTTTAGTTGATTACAAGCTCAAAGAATCAATAGTATGAATCAGGAGCATGCCCCTGTTCCCCCCCACACACTTTCCAAACCTCAAAATTTCCAACAAACTAATGAAATCATAAAGATGACACAGCATCAAAAGAATAACAAATAATATCTAAAACAAGGGAGAAAACAGTCTCACTATACTCTGATCTGATAAAATCATATGCTGCGTGCTACAATCAGTTCTAAGTACCACATTTTAGGAAAAAAAGGCTAGAGTATATCTGGGTAGGTTTTCCAGATAAAGAGATAAAAAAACCATGCCATATGATGAACAACTGAAAGAATTACTGTTGTTTGGTCTAGAAACGAAAAGGTAGGCATGAGAGTTGTTCTTTAAGTATCGAAGGTTTTGTCAAGTAAAAGAGGGTTGATTTGTTAAAATGGAAAAAGCTAAGATCAATAGGAAATTGCTGAATGGCAGATTTTGGCTCAAAGTAATGAAAATTTTCCCATCAATTAGAGCTATTCAAAAAGTAGAATGTGCTGCTTTGAGGGATGGGAAAGTAGGTGGGGGAAGGAGTCTGGGGATCCAGAGAGTTAAGGGACATCAGGGCATGTATTATAGTTCCCATCATGGTGTTTGAGTATGAGGGAATCTAGGCCCAGAAAGGTTAAGTAAGTTGTCCAAGTTAACACAGTCAATATTCAAACCCAGGTTCACTGACTCCAAGTCCAAGATCTTTTGTCTATGGTGTACTAGACTGCCTTCAGAGGTCTTCACATTGAAACTATATGGCTACTTGTCAGGGCTAATGTAGAAGAAAAATTCCTCTTCCGGTGCAGGGTTAACCAGATGTGAGATCAGCTCTTCATTTTTCAGATGAGGAACCTGAGGTTAACTGACTTCTCCAAGGTCACACAGCTAATGAGTACCCAAGAAGGAATTTGAACCTTGATCTCCACTGCAAATCTAGTACTTCATTAACCACTAGTAGTTAATAAACTTTGAACTGAATTGTTGGATACAGATTAAAATTTAACTTGACTATGTATTATCTATTCTGTAGTGCCAAGTATAAAGTTGGACGCACACAGTAGGTATTTGAAGACCATCTCTCTGCAACACTGAGGTCCTCATGCCAAGAACTAATGTAACCTTTTGCTTCATGTTCGAAAATATGCATCTTGGAAAATGAAGAGAAACAGCGCTTAAAGTAATCCCATATATAAAGGTTGAACTCTGGAGTAGGAGAATCTCAATCCAAATCCCACTGCCCTCTCACACGTGTGACACTGGACAAAAGTCACTGAACCAATCTGGGGCTCAGCTTTCTCATCTCCAAATGAAGTGGTTGGCAGCCTCAGAAGCCTCTTCCAGTTCTAGATAAAACTGCAAACTTCAGAGACCATTTACTGTGGGGTTACCTAGTTATTTTTTCTAGGTTTTAACACACTTCAAGTAGTGAAAAAGGAAATTAATTCTAAAGTAATTTTTTATTTTTAATTTTCCTTACAAAAATCAATTAGTTTTATAGTATGAAACTTTTGTTTTCCATTATTACAATGAAAAGCTAAATAAAACCAAACAGAATTTAATAATAAAAAACATTTATGCATTTTAAAGTCCAAATTCTGACTGCACAGAAGGTGAGAAAGGGTGAGTCACAGAAGAAAAATCAATATGGATATGCTAGTTAACTGTATCACCTAGAAAACAATAATAAAGATTTTAAAGTCATATACATAGTTGGAATGACAAATAATGGACTTATTTTCATTTGTGAGTGTTCTGGGCTTCTACTCACTTTGCTTATACATTTCCTATACTTACTCCCCACCCTGATTTCAAGACCTGGGAAAATACTAATCTTATATATAAGGATTCAGTTAATAAATATGGAAGCAAGTCCCAATTGCCATCAATATTTAACCCCTGTAAGTAGCTTAAAAATGGCTACCTCTCTTCTCTCCAGGAAGCAACCTTTCAAAGCCTTCATGGTACAAGAAGAAAGACTGAGATCCACCCCTTCTCCAACCAAGGGTTAGATGCTTTAAAAGGCCTCCAGCTCATACAATAAAGAATAGCCTTCCAATTAGGATATCCATCAGAGATCTATAGTACAGAGTTGAAATACTGCTTAAATTTCATCTAGAAAGATCAGCCCAAATGTTAACGGGTACCATATGGGCATGGAGCCTCTGTGGCAAATCTTCTTGTCATCACCTCAAATTTTATCAAAGAATTTTAATATGTTAAGTCTGCTGTGGCACGTGTGTGTGTGTATGTGTGTGCCTGTGCGTGTGTGTGTGTAGGGGGGGATTAGCTCAAACATCAGCCTTTATTAAAGCTAATGACAGTACAGTGAGGGAATCAGGTATTCTCTAACTTGGAAAATGTAATGTCCTTAGGTATATAATAGTAATACAGTCTCACTTATTTAGCATAGAGAAGAATGAACTGTTTACTTTTTAAGTATTTTATGTTTAAATCATTAATCCGAGAAAAGGAAAAAGACTAAAGATAGTATAGATTATAGCAAAGTCAAACAAACAAGTAAAAGCAATTTTCTTCAACGAATGCACGTGCCAATTTTAACTGTTACAAAATCTAGAATTAAATTCTAGGACCTGTGATTTGTTTTATACTTCTGTCCTCAATATTTTTTTTTGAAAAGATTTTATACCTTGTTCAGAAGTGGCAAACATATGGAAGAGTTGGCTGACCTTGCCATGTTTATGAATTACAAAGGCATTTTCAATTACTAATTAATTTAATAAGCATTTAAAATGCTTACTGGGAGACAGCAAAGATGAAATAAACAGACCTTTCCCCTTCCCTCCCAGGGAGTTCACAATTTAGGAGGGTTACTCCTGGCTAAACCTAAGCAAAACATCTTAATCAGAATTGCATAGAAGCATAGTGTTGAGGAGAACCTTAGGGATCATCTAAAATAGCCCATCATTTATATAAATTTGCATTTAGAAAAGATTTATAAAATAGAACAATAATTAATAAATATTTTCCCTGCTTTGGACATTAATCTGCATTAGAATTCCCATAGGAGTGACTTTAGACATGACATATACAAGATCTTCATAAAGTCTAAATATGTCTTTAAATTTTCAGTATTAGCCTGTATGACAGAAACTATTACTAGAGTTAAATAGCTATTATCAGGAAAAATATCTACCTTAATGATATATTGCTAATAAAGATGTGAACAAATGAAATGGCAGTGTTCTATGACTAAATGAAATGAAGTACATATAAGCTATAATAAGAAAACGTAATTTCCCTGTTATATATCATTAATGATCACTATTACTGAGTACCCTAAGTTAAAGGTTAAAAGTTTTTAAAATGTGCAAGGATTTTGTACATTCAGAAATATTTTGACATAACTCTTAAGATTAAAGAGGATATGTGGTAAGTTTATAACACTCATAAGTGTTTATACTATCACAATGAACTTTTAGAGCTGTACTTTTGACTACACTTTATAATATGTAAAATTTAGCACATTTATAACATACAACTTACTCGTTTGTCAATATCGCCATGTTGAAGTTGAACAAACCGAGCGCTAATGGCAGCAATATAACTCTGCTGATTGGAAAAAGCAACACGCCCAGCACCTTTTGGGTACTTCAGCTCTGGATCTGTATCAATTCCTGCATAACATACGCCACCATACAGCCGGTCCATTATCATTGCGAGTTCCACTGTAATAGGAAATTTTGTAAAAAGGGGTTAAAAAAGGTTATTGGCTAAAATGTTAAAAAAAAAACTGGCTCGTGCAGATAACAAATCTAACTATTCATTAAAAAATGGACACATTTCTATAATGCTTTATAAAGCACTTTTTTCATAACCCTAAGATATAGGTAGTATATTATTATTCCCATTTTACAGATGAGAAAATGGTAAAATGACAGCTCAGAAAGTTTGAAAGATTTGCCCAGAGCTGGCTTGTAATTCAACTGACATCTTCTAAGTGAGGTTCTCTTTCTACTATAACACAGAATATTTATAACATCATTGCAAACCCCTTTCCAAACATGTGAAGTGGTGGAAAACAACTAATGGATGTTTTTACCTTTATATTTCCTTCTTATTTTAAAATCTGATTTTTTCACGTGATTCCCAAGTTAATAATTCACACAGATTCTAGGAAAACATTTTTTGGTAATCCTTTCAACACCTAAAATTCTTTTATAAAGAAAAAGTCCTGTGCAATTTCATTTGTGTGAAAATCTTAGTGTCTTCCCTCTGAGATTATCTCCAATTTATCCTGTATATGTTACCTTTGTCTTTATTTTTTGTATTAGACTGTGAGCTCCTCAAGGCAAAGGGCTATTTTTGCCTTTATTGGTATCTCTCGTGCTTAGCACAGTGCCTGGTACATAGAAGTAACTTAATAACTGTTTACTGATTGACTGAGTACTCCCCACTACCAACTGCAACCTCTCCATACTTTACTAGATCATCTTTGTGAACTGCTGGAGTCAAAAAATTAATCACCAGGCTGGAATACGTAAGCTGGTATGTAGGAAATTCTATTAAAGATTAATTGTTTAAAATCAATTTGTAAAACCATTCACTTATTCTATGAATGAATTATGGCAGGTTTAAGATATAACATACATCAACTGCATTTATTATGACTAAAGGGGATTCCTAAAAAGGTTTAATGATTACCTTTTACTTATTACCTACTATTCAGCAGACAATTTAACAAATAATATACTTTCAAAAATGATGATTCAATATTCAGTATATACAAAATAGACAAAAATGTATATAACCTGTAATGCTTTAGTGGCAAAAAGCAAATCATTGGTGGTGCTTTTCAAAGATCCACTATATGTTGTTATACTGACAAAATATTTTAACTGCTATGCATTTCTGAATGAAAATCAGAAGGTGGAAATAATCAACACTAAAACACAAGGTCCTCATAAGTTGTTGCCCAAGCACCATAAAAAGATACCCAACAATCTGCAAAACTCTACTTGTTTTCTTGGTCAGGTGACCTCTCCCAATATGACTGCTAATACAGAAACAACAAGTTGAAAGTCATTACTGCTTCTGGATTAACAATAAAACAAAAGATCATGGAATGAAGATCGGTACCAAGAAAACAGGTTTACTGAGAAGTAGTACTCACTTTGCTGTTAGGCATACAGGAGGCTAGAACAATGTATGTGCCATCGTATTAGAAAAACTGACCAGTTTTTCCTTAGCTATACTGTCACATTTGCTACATTATCACAAATATGGAGGTGAGAGTTCACTTGCGACCTAGAGGTGGCTGCCACTTCCCCTTCTATAGATACCTTAAGAAAAATGTGAATAACTGAAGACTTGGCATGCTGCCTCTGAAAGGTTGTTGAAATTTCTATTTAATAACGGGCATTAGTAGAATATGTGTGCATATATATGTGTACAGGTATTCTATGCCATTTACACCAAATTGTCAAAGTTTGAAGGACATTACATAAAGAATGCTTCAACACAACTGAAAGGTAAAGAGACTACAAGATCTCACTGTTTATTTTTTATTTTATAGTAGTATTTGAAACTCAGAAGAGCCAACTGCAGCACTTCTTAGACAAGATTACGACAGATTTAACTTTGGAGATAAAAGATTTGCTGAGTATTGACATCAAGAAATGTGTTTAACAAGAAGACTTATTCACTTAAGTTGTTCACCAATATCATGAAAGATGTTCACCCAAGTTAGAATGACACAAGAAATCTATATTGATAGCAAGGTTCTCCAAATGATTTGTAAATAACACTATACTAATTGAATTGGTTGCTGAAATGGTACAAATTCCCTCAGTGAAGTACAAGAAATACAAAATAAATTGATCTAAGTATATATAACAGGATAAAGAACATGGAAATTTTTTTTTCTTTTCACACTAATTTTCTAGAAATATAGCCAGATGGGCATACCAAGTTATTTTATTAGGATGTTAGGCAAAACAGAAGGTTGAATTCAGATTTGAGAAGGAAGAAGACTTAAACTGCTTTCGGAAATTGTGCGGTAGTCACAATGATATTAAGCCACTCTGGGCCACAAAAATGCACATGTTTAACAGCATTAGTTTCCCACTAACTTTTATGTGACTGAGAATCAATCAACAAGCATTTATTAAGCATTCACTATGTACAAAGCATGATGCTAAGTGCTGGGAACAACGATAAAAGTTAAATAGTCCCTGTCCTCAGGAAGCTTATAATCAAGCTGGAGAAGACAAGATGAACATACATAAGTACATACAAAATAGAAACAAGATAAGCTAGAGGTAAGGGATGAGCATCTGGAGGAATCACTTAAGGCTTCATGAAGAATGTGGTACATGAACTGAGCTCAGGATTCTAAGAGACAGAAGTGAGGGGGGAGAGGCAAATCTGGCACTGGGAAGAGTCAGTAAAAGGGCTCAGAGACAGAAGATGAAGAGCAACAAAGGAGGTGAGTCTGGCTGGACTGTACTTTGCTTGAAAAGGAATATTATATGTAATGAAGTTCGAAAAATGAGTTGTGAAAGCCATTTCATACCAAATATAGAATTTTATTTTTTGATTCTAGAGTTAATAGGGAGGCCCTGGAGTTTAATGATTAGGGGAATGATGTAGTCAGACCTGTACTTTAAGCAAATTACTTTGGTAGCTGTTCAAAAGACGGATTGAAGTGGGGAGAGATTTGAGGCAAGGAGACTAGAAACAAGCAAATCATGTTGCATAAATGTCTTGGAAAAATCAAAATTTTCAACAACAAAGGACAGTGGAGACACAGGGGCTTTAAGCAGGATGAAGCATATTGTCAATTAATAAGTTGCATTACAGTAGTTTAATATTTTATCAAGGGACATGTATGGTTCTGGATATGGAAATGGGTTTGCCACACAATAAGAATGAGAGATAAAGTTTGATACATTGGTACTCCTGAAATATTAAAAGAATGAGAAGAAGCCCTCCAGTTCACTGGTAGATTTTTAAAAAAGGTTTATGGAAAAAACACAGACAAGAATTGAAGAGAAAGGATGTATTCTCCTTCGATACTGGAATTACCCATACCTAGAAGCACTGGTTCAATAACAAAAACCAAAATAAAACAAAAATGCTTTTTAGATACTGACCAAAACTGATTAGTATATAGGTAGTACTGTAGTATTATGTCTTTAACTGAGTTCTGATGTAGTATGTGTTAATCTATAGTGATCCAGGATTCTGTTCTCACATCAAAAGACCTATCTATCTAACAACTCATTTAAAAAGCTTCTTTAGGTTAACATAAAAAAATGCCACAATTCAATTTTATTAACTATTAGAGCATCCAACTAAAAGTGAAAACATCATTTAAAATATTTGGCATAGTTTTTCTAAAAATATGCCAATTACCTGTGTTGCTACCTTCTAAGGAGGTTATAAGTATGCAGCAGTCTGTGTGAAGCTTACAACATTCAGGGGTTGTTGAAAGATCAATGAATGGAAGGTAAAAATGGAACTTCTGGCAAAATACACCACAAAATACTTTATTCCCTGGCACTACAGGAAATTTCTAAAGAATGTTCTAAGTTCTAAATTTAATCTCTTATGAGTTCCAGAAAGTTAGTCAATGTCTAGGTTACTGGGGAGGGGGGGGAGGAATTCTTCCTTGGCTAAATATTTCAAAATGCAGCTGTATTTTTAGCAACTATTTGATATTGATCACTCATTCACCCCTAAATAATCACAAAATTTGCATATTCTGAAAGGATATTGTTAGGATATATCTTGTAACAATTTATTTCAACCCAATACTAACATATATGATTAAACATCTAATTTGTGCAGAGCAGAGTAACCTGCTACGCTAGGGGAAGATACAAAGCTTGGATGAGAAAGAACTCCTTTTTTGGAGTTTACAGTCTAGTGGGGGCTGAGAGGACGATACAAAACAGACAAATAGCTATAGCATAATAACTCATAACTGCATAAGCATACGGGAAGCACTCCCTTAATACAAAATATTACGTAAAGTTTACAACTCCAAACTGCTATTTTCCCTCCTTTTAAACTCCCAAAGCATTGATTTTGTAGTTCTTATTGACTCCTTTACGTTCTATTTGTATATATGTATACATGCTTTTTTATTTTCCCTCCTAAACTATAAAGTCTGTGATGGCATGGACCATTATCATCTTACTTGCCTGTAGCAGATACTCAATATTTCCTAAATGAACAAATTCCAAACATCTAGGAATCCTGAATATCATCTTTTAGCCCAACAGGACTGCAAATTTACAGACAGAGGGAACCTTATGGGCCATCTAATCCAATTCTTTCATTTTAAAGATGCTGAACCTGAAGTTCAGGGAGTTTTAAATGACTTATCCAAGGTTACACAGGCATGTGGTAAAATTTGAATTCAGGTTCTCTACTTCTATGGTAAATCTTGTTAGTCTTAATTCCTCCTATTTAAATGTGGACAGTAAATCTCCCAAACTGAAGAGAGCTTTTCTAAAAGACATGCTTGAAAAAAAAAAGTTTGTTGTGTTAATGGTTTTCTTAATTTCATAAATGTAAGCTCAACTTAAATTATGTTTTATTAATTTTGAAAATTTATTAAACTGAAACGCTCAAGATTTATAAGGCAAATCAATAGAGATTTTCTACTTACCTGCTCTCAATGGCCTAGGGACACCTCCAACAAAAATTGTTTTTCGAGGATCAAGGGGTTGTGACCCATCCATCACAAAGTCACTATCACTTAGATTCCAGGGACGGATCTGAACCTATTTTTAAAAAAGTACATACTACTTTAAACCTTTCTACTTACTAACAAAGCACATTTAGACTGCTGAGAGTCAATCTTAGCCCTAGTCATTAGCTAATGTCCATAGTCCAGTTGCTGGTCTTGAACAAGGATCAAGACCACCAAGTTTGGTAAATAACCCAATTGTCTCAGAATCTGTGAGAATTGGCGCACAGTATTTCTGAAGAAATTTTGCAAACCTGGTAGTTATTAGCCTAGGGCCGCATAATATTTACTTACTGGTTTGTCCTTGATAGTAGGGCTAGAAACACACAGATATAGCTTTCCATCTTCTTCAATACAAGCATCAATCAGTGCTTGAACAGAGGTCTCCTCTTGGAAGAGAAGGAATGCATAACCTGAAAAAAAAAACCAACATAAGTTTTTTTAAATAAGGGAAAATACAACAATCCCATTTTCCTTCTGAATATTAATACTGTTTATTGAACAGGCATAAAACACACGTAACAGAAAACAAAATCCATCTCATCAACAATAATGTACCATGAGGGATGCCACAGGTAGAATGAAGTCTTTGTTAAGAGGGAGATATGGGGTGTTGGAGGATGTTAGTTCATTTCAGCTCCCTGTGGAAGTTTCAGGGACAAGTAAAATCTTCCCAGAAAGTGCATGTTGTACTGAATTAGCATACAGGATTAATAAATACAGAGCCTCTTTGTATTTCCATACTACTCTGAAGGAAGTGTTTCTGGCCTTGAGAGCTCCCCTAAAGATTCTCTGCTCAATCTCTGAATCAAATATCAGCCTAAGCTAGTAAAGGAATTCCACAGACTTAAGTCTACATTTGTAACAATTCTAGGAAGATGATGGCAGCGAGGCGGAGGATGGGTTCTCTCTTCTCTCCACTCCATCCTCTAACAACTGCCAAAGTCGTCTTCTTAAAGCACAGGTCACGGCAGAAAACCTGACTGTGGCCCTGCCAACTAGACCCTTCTTGGTTTGGCCCAACCTGCCTTTCTAGACTTACTGACTGCTACACTTTCCTTCACACACTCTATTCCAGTCAAACCTGCCTACTTTCTGCTTCCTTAACACGGTGCTCCATCTTCCTCTTCTGCTTTTGAATATATTGTATCCTTGCCCTAGAACGCGTCCCACCTCTAACATGTCCTGTTAGAATCTACAGCTTTGAAGAGATAAATTGCACATATATGTAACAGGATTTTAGAGCAGGAGATCACATGTGCCATTTACTACCAGAAGTTTTTCCTGATGTCCTTGGTTATTAACACTCCTCAATTTGATATATATTCTTATCTGCTTATATGCTGTATTTCCCCCTCCCTACCACATCCACAAAGTAGAAAGATACTTGATGTGAAAGCCTTTTTTTTTTGGGGGGGGTGGTCATTGTACTCCCAGAACATAGCATAGGTTTTAATAGCTCCCCCAATCAAATCTCTATATATCAGGAGCAAGTGCACTTTTTCCTGATGCCTCCCTGCATACCTGTGGTCATACCTAGTTTTTGGTCATAAATCAGGACTGCGTGGAACACAAAGGTTACTCTAAATGCAAGGCAGGTACTTGAACTTATACTAGAAGTTCATACCAAATGGTATTTTTGGAAGCTGAAAAGCACAGGTAATCTTATAATATGAAATTTCCATACAAATATAGAGTACTATGATCTTTATTCAATGTGAAAGAAACTATCATGCCAATCCACGAAAATTTATCTCATTATACAATAAGAAATGATTTACTTAGAACTAAAAAACAAAACAAAAACAAACTTCCCCCCAAGAACGTCCCCCCTCACACTGTGCGGCCAAAACTGGGTATTATATCACAACTACAACAAAAAGCCAACAGTGTGACAGAGTATAAATTAACTACTCTCAGTTTTAGAGATTAAAGTACTCAATTCCATAAAGGATTCAAAGCATGCTCCACAAACTGTTAACTTGCAGCACAAGTCCATCAGAAGAGCTTTTACGTACATCCTCAGCCCAAATCTCACCTTCTTTGATCATTCCAGCTTGAAATGATCTATTCTGCCCCTAAAATACTATTTATTATATATCATTTAATTGGCAATTAATTACATACAACTTTTTGCTTCTGTATTGACATTTTTAAACCTTATTTTTCTTGATTACAAATCCCCTGAAAGACAATAAAGTTTCATTTTTGTATCTGTAATAATACCTAACGTAGAAAGTTCAGTGTACTGTTTGACAAATGATTGCCAAATTCTGAATGAATAAATTAATCTAAAATAGAAGGTATCAACATTATTCTGCATGAAATTTCGAACCTATTAAAGTTTACAACAGAACAGGAACCGTGATAAAACTCTTCCTAACACAGTACAAGAAGATGAAAATAGCGTAGAAAATGATTGTGTGTGTATATTTATATATCTATTTACTGAGCAAGCTACTTTTCATTTGTGGAAGAGGGAAGGTGGCAAGACCCCTGCTGGCTCAGGGGTCTTGCAAATAAGACTGTTTCATTGTTACTGTTAAGTGGTAGTTAATATTTAATGACTGATTAGAAAACTGTTGCTTACAATAAAATTTGACTCACCCCTTCTCCCCCATTTCACAAATAACTATGCTTTTAAAAACATATAAGTACAAATGTCCTCTAGTCTTACAAATCTTATAAAGAATATAAAGTAAAACAACATTCAGTTCTGGATGACATACCAAGATATGCACTATGTCTATAGTCACAGAATATAACTGATTAAGAACATACAATTTCATACCTAGAAGGGGTCTTAAGTAATTTAGGGTAATCTCCTGATTTAGTAACTAAAGAAACTGAGGTTCAAAGATGTTAGTGCCTTTTTCTAGGTCAGCATAGAAATTAGTTAACACGGCTGGGACCTGAATCCACTACATTATCATGTTGCTTCCATAACCCTCCTGATAGTAATTCATGGTCAAAGGAAACTGTCTCAGAGAGTGTGTTCCAAGAAAAACAAGAAGTGTTTGGGTCACACCAAACATGTTCCAACGTGCAATGTACAGGGCTGATTCTGAATTTCACCTAGACCCAATAAGACCGTTCTTGGAGCCATTTTAATGGTCGGTTTTTTCTAATTAATAGAAATGCTAAGGGTTAGATGTCCTGAAAGAATGGTGCACATATGCATGTATACACAAAGAACACACAATCACTTGAAAAGAAGTTATATGCACCAAGTGACTGACATTCATCAGCAAAGGTAAAATAAGAATGAAACCTCTCAGCTCATATATACTATATATATATATTTTTACCTTTTGGTGGGAAGTAGGATTTGCTTTCTGCTTTGTGAGGCCAGTCTACTACCAGAGGCCCAAATCGTCTGAAACTAGCAGTAATTTCATCTAAAAAAAACCCATAATGATAGGAGTTAGAAGTCAGCTTTTCCAATTCTCCTTCGAAAAGAAACTCTGTAATTTTTAGAAGTTAATACAGTTTTGAGATTTAATACTTCATATTTCTTAGCATCTCAGTGCGTAGAGGAGGAGGTGGAAAGAGAATTTGAAACTGAAAGTAAAAATAAAATTAAAAAAATCTATAACTTAAAAAAACCCCTATAAGGTAAGCTAGAAAACATATTGTATGAACTTGAATTAAGAGATAAAAACTAGCTTATAAAGATGTTAACTAGTATCTAAAGACTATCTGATTGTTAGATTCTCTCTACAAAAACATCATTCTGAAGAAACATAACCAGAATAATCAATTAAGCATTAATTTAAATTGATTTACTGAATTTTTAAATATTCTATGGCATGAATAGTTAGATGAAGAGGTCTTTAACAGGGATCATAGTAAAATTACAAAACAACAGATTAGCGTAACAACTAGGCAGCATATGCTAAGTTATATCTAGAGTATATATCCAAAGAACTACCTGATGCAGTATTGTTTTTATGTTATAAGCAAAACTATGCTATAAGTTCTACTTTAAATGCTTCATTAGAGATCAAAAGAGAAAAAATTTGAAAAATTATAGTACATCAGAATTAATCAAAGTTTGCCACAGGACAGACTGGGTTCACATTGATATTCACCTTATATCCTACTGAAGAAAACTACTATGTTGAATATTGCTCAGAATTAAGTATGCTGTTAATTAGAGTCCAGAAATCTTGATATAAAGGAATGTATACTGCAAAAGGTTTAAGAAGCAAAGTACTAGGGGCAGCTAGGTGGCACAATGGATAGAGCACCGCCCTGAAGTCAGGAGGACTTGAGTTCAAATCTGGCCTCAGACCAAACACTTGATACTTACTAGCTGTGTGACCTGGACAAGTTACTTAATCCCAGCTACTTAAAAAAAAAAAGAAGCAAAGTATCTTCAATTTATCAGAGTAGTTCTACTTTGAAAGACTATTCAAGATGGCTACTTACCGGTCCTTAAAAAAAAAAAATTAACCTATGCTGTCTGCAATTCCAGTGTTCCTCTCCAACCAAAAATACCAACTCACCTTCATCAATATCAGGAGGAAGACCACCAACAAAAACTTTCCGAGAAAAACGTTCTATCCTCTCTCCATTCTGATGAGCTGAGTAGCATGTGGGTGAATTTAAGACACCAACTTGGTCATTGTGGCCATCATCCAGCAAGCCATCATCTATTGGGAAGAGGGACGAACGGCCTAAAACATATAAACAAATGATAAAATTGTAATTCAGGATTTTCATAAATAGGGCAAAAAAACCCCAAATATACATAGTATAATGTTAATGAACAACATACTCAATAGTCTGTAAATAGATGAATGAAGAAAAATTAGCTTCCCCAAAGGAAATCCAAAAATCACTGATGTTTTCATGAAGGAAAGTTATGGTCTGAATAGTTTTTAAAGATCAGATGAAACAAAATTACTCTTGTTCCATTAACATAAAAGAGAATAATATTACAAGGCAAATATTTAACCTTTCTTACTTTTTAGAAAAATTAACAAAAATCTGGCTATGTGGGGAAGGTAAAAGTCTGCTTGGATAGTGCCTATAAGAGAATGAAGCTTCTGCATCTTCATGGCAAGGATGAAGAAAAAATTGCCTGAACTATTTAAACAGACAATGCATATAATCTGGTTTTAGGTAACAGGTAGATGGCAGAAGCTATAGCTCCAAAAGTGAGATGAAACCCAAAATAGTAAGTCAACAAGTTAACATGCTTTACAACTGAAGGTAATACAGAGCAAGATGCATATGAATATTTACATCGAGGGTTGGTTGGTAACATGGAAATGATTAAGAGGCAGCCCCTAAGACCAGGAATATTAAAATCTAGATAGGGTTGGGGTAGGAGAAAATAGTTATATATAGGAGAAAATAAGTTACATAAAACAACAGTAATTGAGTGCCACAAAAGTGGTATCAAAGAATTACAGAATTTGAAGGAGGGAAGGGATAGTAATCAGTGTGACTTTATTAGGGAATTGAAAGAAGACTGGTTTTAGAAGGCCTTGAATGCTGATCATGGAGAGTCAATAGGCGGATGTTTTTGATCAAGAAAGTGATGTAATAAAAATTCAGAGAGATAAGAAAAAGAACCACAGTAGGTATGGCAAATTTCTTCTGTGACAGTAAAGGTTTCAGTTATAAAAGTCAAGGGAAGACAGTTTCAAGGAAAGGGTGGTAGGCAACCTGGGTCAAATGCTATAATGAGGTGAAATTGAATTAACAACTGGGAAAAAATAGTAGGTTCAGTAATGAGAAATCATTGTATATAGTAAATTTTCATTTATTGTGTACTCTTATCCCCAGCACCTAGCATCGTATCTGGAACATAGTAGGCACTTAATACTTATTGCCTGATAACTTTCAAGAAAGCAGACGCGGGGCAGCTAGGTGGCGCAGTGGATAGAGCACTGGCTCTGAAGTCAGGAGGACCTGAGTTGAAATCCAGCCTCAGACCAAACACTTGACACTTACTAGCTGTATGACCCTGGGCAAGTCACCTAACCCCAATTGCCTAAAAAAAAAAATCAAGAAAGCAGACCTCAAGTCATAAGGAAATAAGGATGACTAGGTAATAAAGTGGTGAAACAGTAAGCATAGATGTCCTTTTCAGAAAATTTAACAGGGAGTAGAAGGGCTTTACTGAATTGCAAGTAGCTCCTTATGGGTAGAGATTCTGCCTTATTCATCTCCCCATTTCTTAGCATAATGCCTGTATACAGCCCATGCATAAACAAAAGTTCAAATTTAAATTGCTGTTGTTCAGTTATTTTTCAACTGTGTACAACCCTTTGTGACCCCATTTGGGGCTTTCTTGGAAAGGATATTGGAATGGTTTGCCATTTCCTTTTCTAGTTCTTTTAACAGATGAGGAAACTGAGGCACACAGTTAAATGACTTGCCCAGTATCACACAGCTATAAGTATCTGACTAGTAAGCCAGATTTGAACTCATGAAGATGACTCTTCCTGACTTCAGGACCGGATTTTATCCACTGCACCACCTAGCTGGCCCAAGTTTAAATTGACTATGAGGAATAAGATGGTAGCTTGGGTATAGGATAGCAAAGTCAAGGCAAGGGTTTATTATTATTATTATTATTATTATTATATTATTATTATTATTATTATTATTATTGCTGTTGTTTTTTGGTAGGGAGATGAGAAATACAGGGAAAATCTGAGTATGTAACTTATCTACATTATGACTTGGTGCCAGCTTATGTGTTTAAAATACGGTGCCTTCCTGGACTTTAGATCCATTTTGCCATTTAAATCTAGGAAACTGCAATATGTTAAGAGGCAGTTAATGGCATTAAGATACATGCAAACAGGAGGGCAGTGATTTATTTAGAATCTAGATAAAAAGAAGAGTTAGGAATAAGATTTTGTCAAGCATTTATCAACCTCTATCCAAGGGAAAACAATAAACCACACTTGATTACCATTAAATTGTAAGCTGTTTGAAAGCAAAACTTTTATAACATTTATCTTTGTATTCCTAGCTAGGTACAGTGCCTCAAACATAAAAGGTGCTCAAATGAAATGGTCAACATAAATAATTCAATCACTATTTACTATAGTTAAGTGAGTCTAATTCACCAGGCTTGGTTGCCTGCTTGGGTGAAAATAACAAGACCTACCCCATCTAAAAGCAAAGATTGTAACATGCTTATCAAATGGATATAGCCAATTCTGTAATAACACAACTCAAATTCAGAGTTTGTTTTTGTGCAGCTTTCCCCAAGAAAAACATTTGAGAATGCAGAAAATGGTACCACTTCACAAGCTATAAGCAACTTTCTAATGCCCATGTCCACAAGCAAACCTATTTTTCAAGGTGAACTGCCATATTTATTGTAAATCTTCTGATACAGCAAGTAGGAATTTTAAGTTGAGGAAAAGATGGTCTGTACTACTTCTACCCCTTCCCCTTCTGCCATTGCCTTTGTCTAAAGTAGCAGGGTATAGCCACTATTTATTGTGGTATTTATGTATTTCTTAACCATTTAACATGAATAAAACTGTGCTGCCATTTTTATTAGGTTTTTATCTTCTTTTCCCTGTCACTGGTGAAGTTTTTAAGTGTTGTGTCCCCAATTTCAAGCTCTGTGTTATTTATTTTGAAAGTCTGCATAGTGCTTTTGAGGAACTTCTATGTCATGTTATAGCAGAAGTAACTGTATAACATACATTTAGGATGGATATCTAGCACAGGATTAAAAAATCTTAACAAGATATGGTTTCTGTATCATTTGGTTACAATTAGCTGGGGTTTTTTTTGTTGTTAAAAGACAAGGCTCATTGCTTAGGAGACGGTGGTATGAACAGGACTATGATGTAAAAATAAAAGGCATCAATATAATAATATAAAAATAATCCACAATATTAAAAGACCTCAATACCATGTTCCATGTATTAAGCAATGGTGATTATGATTTTAGATGACTAACAAGGAAGCATGCTTTTCTCCTCTCAGAGAAATGGCAGACTATAGGTTTGAAATGAGGCCATATGTAGTTAGACATGGCTAATGTGTTGGTTGGTTTTACTCTACTACAACTGTTTGTTACAATGGAGTGTACTTAATGTGGGAGGAGCATCAGTCAAAAGGTATATTATGTGTGTATATGTTTTAAGGCATCAACAAATTTTTTTCAAGTTCATGATAGATTATAAAATCAGTTCAAAATGAATAAAATAAAATAAAATATATTGAGTTCCAAAAATGTACTTTACAAGAAAAATATGGAAGAGGCATAACAGTTCTGGGGTTTGTAGTGCATTAAAAGTTCAACATAAGCCAATAACATTTGATCTGGTAACCAAGAAAGCAAATAAAATCTTACCCTACATTAAAAAGAGACTTAGATTTGAAGAACTGGGGGGAGGAGGGAGAGAGATTTAAGTCCTATTACATTCTGCTTCAGCCAGACTGCATCTGAAAGACACTGGCAAGCTAAAGAACATTAAGACTAGGGTAACCAGAGGATCAAGCCACATAATGCCTAAAGAAAGGAAGAACACAGAAAAAAGAAGCTTTGATAACAGGAACCACTCTTCAAGTATTTGAAAGGCTGTACATGGAAGGGCAATTAGAATTGTCCTTTTTTGCCCCAAAAAGACAAAACTAAGAGCAATGGGTAGAAGTTACAAGGAAACTTGTAAGAAAAGACTAAGAATTAGAATTATGCAAAAGAGCAATGGGTTGTCTCAGGAAATAGTCCCTTCAGGAGGAAGGCGGCACTGGAGATCTTCAAAAACAAAATAACTACTTGTAGAGTTATGTTTTAGAGGGGATTCTTTTTCAGGTACGAGTTGGATTAGATGGGATGTAAGGCCCCTTTGAACGCTGATGAAATTCTGTATTACTCCCTTTATCTAGATTCTGCACTTAAAGATTCCGTTGCTTATTAATTTTATTTGTGAAATGCCTTCATACTAGGAATGTCTCAGACTCAATTTCTTCTTCTTCTATTTTTTTTTTGCGTTTTGGTGAGGCAATCGGGGGTTAAGTGACTTGCCCAGGGTCACATAGCTAGTAAGTGTCAAGTGTCTGAGGCCGCATTTGAACTCAGGCCCTCCTGACTCCAAGGCTGGAGCTCTATGCACTGCACCACTTCGCTGCCCCTTCAATTACTTTAGTTTCCAGAAAGGTATAGTTTCTTTTTAAAAGCTCCTTATTTAAAAGCCAAAACCATGCACCAAGATCTATGAAAAAGAATATTAGTTTAAGAATAATTTATCCAGTTCCATGATTAACTTGGCAATAAAATGATAAACTTACTTTTCTGTTTATGGGAACACAGTAGCCATATAAAAATTTTTTTTCATTTTCAAATGAAGTTTCAACTCAAATCTTGGTTTCAGTTAAGTGCTAAGAGTTTGCAAACTTTACTTTGAAAAAGTATTTTACCGTTGATTACAAATTCTTTTCCGCAATTGTCTAGAAGAAAATTCTGGATTCATTTTATGTGACAAAACTAAATCTCAAAGCCAAGTCCTAGGGTTTGAATGGAAGCACAATATTGAATACAGAAGTATTATTGTTAGAAGCAATACCAAAAAAAGGCATGGTCCCAAATGACTAAACGTATTTTGTCGCTTTGTCATAAATACTATCAGAATGCTTAACTTTACTAGGTTTAAAATCCAGAAGATCAAGGGATGCCATGAAAAGAATAACAATT